AAGTTCAAAACTGAACTGCAAACATTTCCCATCTATGTAGTAAGTATTGAATTTGTCTCACCAGCAATTCAAGAGGCAGAATTCTCTCAGCATTCGCTTAGACACCTCTGTCCTAAACGGTGAATAGAATCCACAGCAACTTCAAGACGAACGATCAAGTTCTCTGCCATGTTACGATTAACGTGAGGGTAACATCTTGAACAGTCCTTTACAACGCACATGACTGTTTCTAGAAGTTCAGTCACTGGGAGAGCTGCAGTAACAAACACTAAATAGCAGATGGACCAAGACAACGCATTTCACCACTGCCGCTATATTGACGATTGTTACTTGAAGTAATTTTCATTGCCATCATACACGAACAGCCATTCTTTTAAAAAGGCACATTTTGTGCTGGCATATACAACGTAATTTAAGAGACCCGCATAAACGCGCATTTAGCAGGCATATACATGGGTCCTTGTGGGACGCGTATATTTGGGCAGTTATGTCGCATATCCCCGCGCTTGAATTTACGCAAATGTGTGGCCCTTTAAAAATGCGTATGTACGCGATCTAAATGGTCGTATATGTGAGCTTAAAGCCCATACGTAACGTATGTAAACAAGTATACGCGGCAGAAAAACCCGCGTATACCCTGTCGTAATTTTGAAACGAATGGCCAACCATACCCGGGTTAACTTTCTAATTGTTTCCAACAGACCCTTTGAATGTAACCACGCATTATGTTGTCCCGGGTTGTAGGGTTACCCTACCTGTGAAATTTTGCTTTTAAACCCGGGCTATCTTTTGCCCTCCAGCTAGGGTTAACCCGCTTGCTAGGGTAAGCCTNCTTAAAGCCCATACGTAACGTATGTAAACAAGTATACGCGGCAGAAAAACCCGCGTATACCCTGTCGTAATTTTGAAACGAATGGCCAACCATAGAAATTAGATACCAAAACAAAGGGTTATCAACCTCAAGTGAGGTACATAATGATAAACAGCTATTTTTACAATACATAGAAATCACTCAGTACACTTCTCAATACACCAACATGGCACCTACACGTCGCACGTGAAAGATGGGCCTCCCACAATTAAGAGGAAGACTGGGTGCAAATTTAAAGAACAATTCGCAAGGTGTTGTGACACGAGTCTCCTGAATTATGGATTTTTAACTGCCAGTGTAACGTTTAGTTCAGTTTCTAAATATTATTTGCAATACCTTATGAAAGAAGGATCAACATATAGGAAAATGTAGGATTTTTGCTCAATTTATGGGACTTTATAGGAGAAGTCTGAAAAAGATTTTATAGGAATATAAGTCTCGCTTAACCCCCTGTAACTACCGAACGGAAAACCCGGAGGCAAAAGCGTAGGCAAGTGCCCTTCTTTGGATATAGGCCCTATTGCTGGTTTTCAGTGTCACACAATTCAAAATANGATTAATGGGATCAACTTGTTCAATGGAAAACAATCCGTCAACAAAGTGGCCCATTTGACGGTATTTGTTTGTGAAGTGCTCACTTCCGAGTTTCAATTTCTATTTTGAAACCCCAGGTAAAGAACCCTGCCTTAGATAAAATTTATACACTGCCCACTTCCCCCTGTAAATTCTCGGCTACCAGCTTAACCGATACAATGTAGTGTTTAATTCACCTGATTTCACAATAGCTACTCTTATATACCTGAAGAAGGCAGTGTGGCCAGCCGAAATATCGTATTCAATCAAGTTAAATTCTGAGGTGTGTTGGCTTCGCTTGATTTTTCGGGTACATCTTTAGCCGACTTGATCAATCTCTGATTCAAGGTGTAACTGGATGCACCGGTACAGGTATCCTGGTCTCCATGGCAGCCGTGGGCATGTACAGTACGACACCCTGTTGCTACGTCTGAATATAAGGGAGGGAGGGTATGATCGCAGGTTACTCCGTTGCGTAACACAGTGTAAATACTCTCTATAAGAGAAATAACTTTTTTCGATGATTCGAAACGGAAACAGTGGTGTGGTTTCTGCAAAATATGTGGCTAAATGTAATTTAGGCTAAGTTAAACGCGAAACAAGATTGCTGGCCAGCAGTCTCCAGAGTGGATACGGGGTGGCCGGGGGATTTGTGCAGGGCGCCTGGATTCGGATGTCAAATCAGGTGGTTTCCGCTTACAGGGTTGTCATGGATACCCTACGCGCTCGGTTTAGTTTGTTCTTGGGCTCCACCATCCTTTCAGGCACCATTCCCCAAGCTCATCGATTGTTGATGAGTTTAACTTCAGAGTCGCTGTCGTTATCCTTGGCATCGTCTCTGTTTGAAGTCAAGTTCCCGTGCAAAACTTATAATTAGAAATGAATGTGATTTTTCTGAAAATGAACGTACAGGTGAAAGAAAATTTCAAGTCGATGGTTTTGCATAAAGATTCATCTTGATACAGAGGCAATAGGCAACTCGGAAATGGTCTTTTTATAAGTATTTTGTAACACCAATTTCAAATTACATTTTTAAGAGCTTGTTAAGACACTATTTCATATACAAAGTACATTATTTTCACAATTTATTTTCAGGCCTACAAAGTACAAAACAATAACTAATTTTTGCGTGTTTTTTTTATATACTTCACTTTATACATGCGGGAAACCTTAGCTAGGTTTACTTCAATGCCACCACCGCGACAGCTAACTTTGTCATTAACAAGTCATCTTCATTCGCCTGTTATAACTGAAGGCCGATACTGTAACATCAGGCCTCGGATGCTATTAGTTGTGGATTGATTGCAACACTCTTCGTACAATTATCAGTCTTAAAAATACCTATAAGTCTATCAGCTAATTCGAACATATTATTCCGTAAGCTGATGATAATAAACTGGGCATTCTTTGTCCTCTCCTAAAACAAAAAGCAGTACAAAATAAAACCAATTTTAAAATGTTGCTGAGAGTAAAACTAAATTCACCCTTAATTTGACCCAGTACATTCAGGCCTAAATGTTAATACACGTACGAAAGAAACTGATTTCTTTAGAATGCAAAATTGTTATGGAAATAAGGCAGATTCGGTGAGATGGGAAAATTTGTTTTTATGTAAAATTTACATGCTGACCGATAGCTAGCGATTAAATCTTCCACAAAAACATTTAAACTCTGCATCCTGCTTCATTTAACTTTATTTTCGTGTAGTGGAAACGTTCTCATAAAGACAGCTCACTGACTCCACGCATTTACCCATACATATTATTAAAAAGTATATCCCTTATGCTTGAAGTAAAACTATATTTGATGCAATTAGACTGCTGTGATGGCATATACCCAACTCTATGACATCTTACAGGGCTTTCAATGTTTGGTGATACATTCAAACAATGGGTTAAAAGTTTCTATCCAGACATTTCAGGCTGCACTATGAACAATTATAATTTCTAAAGCGTCCGTTTTGACTGAAAAGATAGAACCCCAAAGCTCCAACTATCATTAAAACATGCTAATGCAGATAACTGTCTTTGTTTACAAAGTTAATCGACAGATTCATTTTGAATTTATATTGTCATATTTTAAAATGTCTAAGAAACTACAGCGTGCAGATCTAAAAATACCCATGAGATGAAGCACTAAAAACTGAACATAAAACACCCGAACTTGTCTGTATTGGGAATTTCCAAATCATGTTTTTTTTCCTGAAGTCAACTGACCTTGATGTAGTTTGCTACAATAGACACATTTCTAAAGTCAAGAGCAGCATCAATTTCATCCATGACATACAGTGGTGTTGGTTTGTAGTGATGAAGGGCAAAAACCTACACGAACACAAACAAGATGACATTATCAGTTTATAGTGCACAGGCTAAAACAATTAAACCAAAATTCTGAATTGCTTCCTACGTACTTGCACAGCAGCAAAACCTATTGTGTTTGCATTGGAATCAGTTGCAACTTATGCTTGCCGCTGATTGTGCTCAAATTAGACATCAACGATGAATTTTACTTTGGAATGTGAACTTTTTCCACTTCACATTGCATTCTAACGGCTCTCCTAAATCCTTATGATGGTTGATTCTCCTGTTTTATAAGCCTTTTTATCGCCTTCTACGCTCTTGACATTAATGATCCTAGCTGTATGTAGGGTGTCTCAATAAGAACCAAGTATCTTGCCTTGCTCGCCGTAAATAACGTCAAGAGTGGACAGAGCACCCATCCGGTGGATGGGAGGTCATGGGTTTGAATTCCCTCAGGGACTCAGAATCTTTTATTCTTTTTTGGAAACACGCGCGTGACATGAACGTTACATGTTTCCTAGAATGTAATTGGCTAGTGCAAAATTTGGAGGGACCATGCCAACGAGACAGCATTTAATGATAACATATTTAATCATGAAGCATCTTGCTACAAACAGCCTCGAAATAGAATTGCGCGAGGGAACGTAGTGTAGCAAACAGGTCTATAATGGAACGTCTGGAAAGCACTGAATTTAGAGTGGTAGACCAATCAGCCATTCTTAAACTCTCCTGTAGGAGAACATTGCAGGGCCCAGTGCAGTGGTTGAGGTTCTGCACAGAGAATGCACTCTCTCATTACACATACGACAGCAGCACATGTAAGTGTCAACTGTGCAAATTACTAATTTATTACTACCATATTTTAATTTGCATCATTTTTCATTTTAGTACCTCTGCATATCATCCTTTAGCTTCTGTTTTTGTATGCCATAAATTGTAATAAATAAATAAAATAAATAAATGGAATTAACTGCAGGTGAAATGTGCTCTCACCAAAGCCAGTGAACTCAGAGTCTTCTCCCCTCCTGATAAGTTAGAAATGTTTTTCCAGCTTTTCTTTGGTGGCCTCACACTAAAACAAAGCGATGACTTTATTATTTATCAGCACTTTTCTATTTGCATACTTTTCTGTTTTTAAAAAACTGTCTGTCCAGGGTCCGAAATTAACTTTTTTAGGCAGGCGCCAACTGGCGACTGAAATTTTTTTTTCAGTCGCCATATGGAAAAATGTGGTCGCCAAAAAGTCTCAATAAAATTTTTCCTTCGCAGCGAAACAAAAACCAAAATTTTTGGTCGCCAGATGGAAAATTCTGCTCGCCAGTTTTTCTTTTAAGAATCGGAACGAAGAGAACGCGTTTGGGGCCGCAATGATGGCGATTTTTCCGCTAACGATAAGATTAAATACAAACACGCTGATTAT